GACGTGAAATTTTTAAGTAATTTCATATAGACTACAGCTATGTTTAACCCCTTTATTGTTATCTAAACATACTTTATGTTCAAATGTTTGGGGTCAGGTTTTTTAATCAAAATTGACAGTAAAGACATTTACAGTATACTAATGTTGCAAAAGATTTCTATGTCAAATAAATGCTGTTCTTTTGAACTTTCAATTCATCAAAGAATCCTGAAAAAAAAGTATCACAGTTTCCACAAAAATAGGAAGCAGCACAACTGTTTTCAACATTGATAATAATCAGAAATGTTTCTTGAGCAGCAAATCAGCATATTAGACTGATTTCTGAAAGATCATGTGACACTGAAGACTGGAGTGATGATGCTGAAAACTCAGCTTTGATCACAGAAATAAATTATTTTTAAAAACATATTCACATGAAAGACAGTTCATTTAAATTATAATAATATTTCACAATTTTACTGTATTCTTGCTCAAATAATAGCTACCTTGCTGAACATAAGAAACTTCTTTCATTATAAAAATGTGACTTCAAACTTTGTGAATAAAAAACTGCATTAAAAAGACTCCCAAGAAAAACTCTAGAAATTAAATTAATTTACCCATATTAAATTAGATTTATTATTAAAGCAGAGAAAGTGTGTTTGAATGCACCTAGAATCTGTGATATCAACCAAAAAGGAAGGATGAGGCAGAGCGAGAGCAAGATTACAAATACAAACAATTTTCTTTTTATTTGTATTAACATGCACCAATGAATCGTGTGCACAATGAGATCAGGAACATGCACTAAGAAATTAAACAAGGTCAGTTTTGATTTGATGTTGATTTTAAGATTAACCCAAGATTGAACACAGAGGGATGTTAGTAAAGCATCAAAGAAAGACGACAAATTCATAATCATGTTTATTTTGCCTCTCCAAATCCCTGCAGACACCCAGCGTGACCTAACGGTGCTGAAAAGTCATCATCTGCCACCGTCAGCTCCCTCTGCCCTCAGGACACGCAGCGCACAAAACTCTTTAATGATTATTCAAGCACTAAACCCCTGCAACAGACCGTGAGAGTCAAATTCAGGCCTTCTGGGAGCTCTACGGGACATAACGGAGAGACAAAGACAGAGTGAGCAGAGACAAGACGCATCCACCCTTTGACCTCCAGAGCATCTGTCATCGCTTCTCTGAGCCGAATACACCTTCAGGACGATCAAAGATCAGTTTCACTGACTCTTCTTGAGGGGAAAAGGCAAAGGGAGACTGCACAACATCAGTCTCCTATGTCACACTGTACAATAGAAATCTTTAGACTCTAGAACCAACATTGTATGTTCAACATAATGAACATCACTAGGTAACACGCATTGCAGTTTATATCGGTGTTCTCATACATTTGTTGTGGCACAAACAGCTTGGACCCGCACAGAAATGAAAAATAAATAAGTTTCAACTTGTCTCTCTCTCAAGGGAATTCGGTCCTTACAAACAAGTGCAATCTTTCGCATTTCAACCTGAGGCAATATGTGATAGCCACAAGCTATTTTCAGCCAACGTGCCAGGCAATTTCCAAAGCATTTCAGATGCTGGGCTCACAGCAGCGTGTGTTGCTGACAGAGAACAGTGTGTGTGTGTGTGTGTGTGTGTGTGTGTGAGAGAGACAGAAGCGAAGCATGAGCTGATCGCATGAGGAAACATGCATCCCAGTTATGCTCTTTGTTCTTGTGAAAGGAAAGTGGATATTCAGGATCGCACAGATCACACACCAACATGATTATGGAAGTCATAACCTCACTTCATCATACCAGTGTAACAAGTTAACCTTAGAAAGAAGCAAAAACTGATTTATGTCCACTTTTTCAAATATTAATAGTTTCTATAAAAATAACTGTTACTGCAGTTATGATTTGTAAAATAACTTCATTACTTTGTTGGCTAACACCAAGTTATGAAAAAAGTTAAATAAGATCTGGTATTCATTTATTATTACAGTAGTAACTATGGTATTTTGCCATGAATTTTTCTTACATTTTCCAGTGTACAATATATTATATATATATATTAAATAGTAAATTATATATACATACATCCATAGGCCTACATATACATATATATTAGATTAGATTATCTTTATATTTGTATTAATATATTCAGTAATGTCCATTATTATGTCCAGGCCTGGAAATTAAAATAAAAAATGGTTTTCATGGTCGTGGGAATGCTGTGGTTACTATGGTTAACGTTAAGAAAAACATCAATAGTACATTTTTGGAGCGTATTTTAACCAAACAGAGCGGACGATAGTTCCCACAAAACCCCACAGGCGTAACATTTGTGCTATTAGTCTATTAAAGTCACTTTTCACTCAATCAATCAGTTCCTCCATCACTCATCGCTTCTCGGCTCATACAATACAGTCAATTATTCCCGAAAGAGACTATATAAATTCAAACGAGTCAGACGAGGTTGACTCCAGAACAGTTTGGACCGATTCAGTCCGATTCGCGGGCGAATAGCACCAAATGGTTATGTGAACCGATTCAAATGATTCATTTAAAAGATCCGACTGGCTAGAACGAATCGTTCACATCGGCAGTACAGTGTAGACGGGGTGTGAAACTGCGGAAGTCCCTCTACAAGACACCTGCTGCAAGATAATCATCAACCCCGACTAACCGACTCTACATGTCGGTGTCTGTTAGAAAAAGATAACGAAACAAACCCACATCTTTAACACATAGTTAACGTGTCAGTGGCGAATGTAGGCTAAGACAAAACAACAACGTGATTCTCTTCTAACAATTCAAAAGAAGAACAACCGTGCAGTTCATAAAACACCATGCAACAACAAACAAGTCTTAATGAGAGGGTGAGAACGAAGCTTTTTTTAGCGCCAGAGAAAGAGAGAGTAACTTTTTAAAACAGACTTAACGCAGCCGCTGAGCCAAACGAGAGTCGAATCTCCCAATCTCACAGAGGAAAAACCCGCAAACACTAGCTCAGAAAGACTCAAAAGCGCTACTTACTGGCGAAAGAAGAAATGTTTAATAATCCAAACGTATCCTCAGTGAGTACGAGTCGAGGTTCAGACCAATATTGTGGTGCCAGCAGGACTCGCACTCCGCTTTACGCGCACTGAGATGAATGAGAATGAGTATGGGATTACAATTCTGCCACAATTCTGCGCGCAAAAGATCATATTTTGAGAATATGATCTTCATATATCAGATTCAGAATATCAACTTGCATAATAATTATACATGCACTGTATTTTCCTCTTCTGCTGTCGAGGTAATGCAAGAAATGTTGTGATTCGTTGTCAAGGCAGCCAATCAGAATTTAGCAGCCTCGGTCTCTGATTGGCTGGAATTATGGCACATTGTAACGCTGGGTTGTGTTGAGCACGGGAGCTGTTGGCATTTAGCGAGCAACAATAGATATATCTCGAGAGCACTGAGGGCGGGCATCAGGTGAGCAAGCTAGTGAAACGTTGCACGTGCAAAAGAGAAGGTCTACACACATCCAAAATCTTATTTTAAAATGCAAAATTGATTTTCGTGCGCTCGAAATACTTTCTTCTTTGCGAGACAAACATTTTCTCCACAAAACTCTTTTGCGCGCTCAAAATTTGATCTTTCGCGAATTGTGGCAGAATTGTAATCCCATACACGAGCTCAATTCATTATTCACGTGGAGGACAATCTACTGTCATACCCAAGTTTCCCAACATCAATCTTGTGTGGTTATCACCTCAGTGTCTGTTTTATGTGAATTTTTTACAGGATATAAGCATATATATATATATATATATATAGACTAGAAAAATCTACAATGTCTAAATGCCTTTCATTTTTTACAAAATCAAAAAGTTTTTGGTGAAAATAAATTCACAACAAGTAGTATTAAAAATGAAATGTTTTCTACAGCCTCACACATAGACCGTTCTTTTACGAGGGTGCAAATAGGACTAAATGTCCCTGGTGTATATTTAAAATATTACATAACAAAACCACTGTATCGTTTTCCTAAACACTTTCACTCACACTTTTGAATGTGTAAGAAACGGACTGGATGTAGCCTAATTTCCATATCGATTAGGCTACTCCTGTCACAACAGGGATTTATTTGTGAAATACACACAAACGACAATGTTTAGACAAGATGTACACTAAGATGTACAGTGTCCATTAGCTACCTAAAAGCAGTGTTATATAAAAAAAAATGTGTGGGGTTTTATGAATCGCCAAACACAGTTGAATTAAATAGCCTAGAAAAATCAATACTTTTAGTTGTGCTCCAAAGTGCTCAAATTGTGTGAGCCTACTCCATTAAATTCAGTATATTTGTCCATATAAAAATACACTTTAAGATGAATGAAAACATACAAGGGGGTTTTACACGAGTCGTAGATTAATCGAGAATGTCGAATTTTAATAATTCCTCAATATAGGTCAAATTTGCCCTAAGGATCACATGTGGGTGCAGATTTGACAGGAATATAGAGAGGGTTCATGCAAACAAACCACCGCTTCACACAATTGACAATTCCACTGGTATTGCAGAACAAAAATCACACAAACCCAAAGTTTACGTTGGCTAAGCTTCCATTCCTTCGCCTCAATTAAAACAGTCTCGCGTAACAGCTCGGTGTTTGTTTGTCTCCTTCAGCCCCAGATACAGCCTGATAAATTATTCAACTACAGCAGATGCACCAGCACAACCTCAATATACCCAAATGCAGCATCTGAAAGCCGATACTAAACCCATCATCCGAGGAGCGACTGCATTGCATTGCCAGAAAGCATCAAAGAAAGCCACGACGGCATTTGCAGGTAAAACTATAAATCGCTGTAGCTGATGGATGTGCCCGCATCCGCAGATACTGTACATCACCTAATAACAGCAGCGCAGATGATGTCTTACATGAGCACAACGCGATACGCTTTAAACCCATATGTGCGTCCCTATCGCACTGCAGGATCTTAAAGAGTCCCGAACGAGGTGAATTACCGTGCTCTCGTTGGCCGTACTCCTCCGCTGGAGCGATGCACCTCCAGTCAAGTGTTTCTTTCTCCGGCGGTCTCTCGATCTGCTTTCCGACTGTCTCAAGTGTTTGGACCACGGGCGCGTTCACGTCATGATACGCGCGTGCTCGCTGCTCTGCAACACTTGCTACAGTGTTACAGTGTGCCAAACAGTGCTATCTTTCCACTTCATGAGCCTTAAGACCATCTGTTTATCTGTGGAAATGATCCAGATAGTATGCATATTTAAGACAGACAGACAGACAGTTGGAAACTAAAACATTAATTGTACAACATGCTTTATGCACTTGCAAAGAATTTGGATTTTCAATTCTTAAATGTGACCCTGGCCCACAAAACCAGTCATAATCAGTGTTGAGGTTGTACTTTTAAAAGTAATGCATTACAATATTGCGTTACTCCATAAAAAAAAGTAACTCGTTGTGTTACTTTTTATGCGTTATTTTACTTTTGCGTTACTTTTTAAATCTGGACAGGGCTTGCTTGTTTGTTTGTTCTATTTCTGGCAAATATATAAAAGCCTTTTCACACCAGAAGTGAAATGAATAAGCCTCGGGCTGAAGGGAAAGTACATTTACGTCCGTACAGTAGAATGCAGAAGAAGACATTTCAACACACTTCAGCAATAAACAAAGACACACAGATGTTTGTCTAGAGTAATTTGTGCTTATTAGTACGGTTGAACTGGATCATCGAAGGTCAGAAGCAAAGACTTTGGTTAATAGAATGGGATTAAATACATAAAGCATATTAGTGTTGTTTAACATTTAATTATTGCAGGTTTGCGTCATATTCTGAGTTGCATTATTTTTTATTCATTTTGAGGAATACTGAATTTTTGTGAGTGAGATGAATTAATGCATATTCATATTTATTTTAGAACTACAGTAGCTGTAGTATCTTCTGATTTCTCTCAACATGGGGACAGGAGAGCTGTCAGTCAATAAATTAAAAAAAAATAACTTCCGTTACTTATTTGAAAAAGTAACTCAGATATTCTCTTGTAAATTAAAAAGTAATGCGTTACTTTACTAGTTACTTGAAAAAAGTAATCTGATTACATAACTTGCGTTACTTGTAATATATTACCCCCAACACTGTCTTTTTTTTTTATTTATTGAGATTTATACATCATCTGAAAGCTGAATAAATAAGCTCTCCATTGATGTATTGTTTGTTAGGACAATATTTGGCCGAGATACAACTATTTGAAAATCTGAGGGTGCAAAAAAAACAAAAAAACCCCCAGAAAATCGCTTTTAAAGTTGTCAAAATGAAGTTCTTAGCAATGCATATTACTAATCAAAAATTACATTTTGATATATTTACCATAGGAAATTGACAAAATATCTTCATGGAACATGATCTTTAGTTAATATCCTAATGATTTTTTGGCATAAAAGAAAAATCTATAATTTTGACATACAATGTATTGTTGGCTATTGCTACAAATATAACCGTGCGACTTATGTCTGGTTTTGTGGTCCAGGGTCATAAATTTGAAACAAGAACTTCTTCAATTCAATTAACCACAGTGTATTTCAATTCACAATTTATGAAATGACTGAAATTATACAAATACATTTGTAATCTAATGCTAAGACACTTTCATCTTCTTGCAGCTTGCTCAGAGGTTTTAGATTCGCTGTTCTTTTAGTTGCGTTGTTGACCATGCACATCTTGTCAAATAGCTATAATATAACAATCCAGTAAGGTGAGTATGATTGACGAGATGCACAATGACTTCAATGTTTATCAGTCAGCTCCCAGACAAGCGCATGAATCTGTTCCATCCAGAGCTCAACTGCATAATCCATTCAAGAGTATTGAAAACAGGTATGTGCGCATTGAGGATAAATCAGTACTGTGATTGTTCAAGTATGGAAGGCCAGAAGGAATGCAGAGTAGTCCGGCTCTCAGAGTTCCTGTAAGAGCAGTCTTTTGGAAAAACATCTCTTTGGCTGTTTCAAAGCAAGGCTGGTCTCTCCTGTAGAACAACATACCAATGACACAGTCTCCACACACGCGCGCACGCGCACCCACGCACGCACGCACGCACACACACACACACACACCGCTTACAGTGTTTAAATTCCTGTTAATTTAAACTAGGGTGTGTTTCTGTGATACTATGAGTCTCTGCTTACGCACAAGAACAAAAGAGTTTACTGTCCTGTAAGGACAAACACTTCTCTAAATATACAGACACACATACATAGCGGGATTTCATAAAATGAAATTAAACATAATATAACTCTCTATTATAAAAGACACCCCTCCCCTCTAGAATAACATAATGCCCCCAGTCATCTATATAAGAAGTGACATAATCTAATAAGCATGCATGTTTTTGCATAAATGCATAAATTAGTGAGCTTCAACCTCCAATATTATAATTTGATTACACCAGATCTTCCCTGTGCAGTTTCTAAACTCAGCATCATAATGTACTATGCGATAAAATGGAGACAACGAGTACCCAAATTATAGCTACCACTATCCTTCCATAAAATGATAAGAAGGAATATTCTCAGGATTTTGCCAAGCAGCATATGCCCCTGGAACAACATTCTCATGAACTAGATTTTAAAATCAGATTTTATTCCTTTCACTATCCTCAATATCTGATTGGATGACGATTTTGCTGGTAGCTTAGTGGTTACAAACTGGTACTAGTAGTAACCCATGCAAACTGTTCCTCTTGTAAGCTGCGTTGGATAATATAGAATTAGATAATAATCAACTCACAAATATTACAAGCAGTGTGCATCAGGGTTTGGATGATTTTTCATTGGTTCCGCCCAACGCAGTCTCATGGCACCTGTGATTGGGACCCGAGCAGTCACAAGGAGGATCTCATCGGGATGTAAACACAGGAGTGATGTTGGCATCCAAAAAGGTGTTTATTTAGGGCAGATGTGCAAAAATGTGCAAATAAATATGTTTAAGAGCATAAAAACAAAGCTTATTAATAAAACGTCTAAAACTGCAAGGTACTAAAAACAGTATTACTGTAATTCCCCTCTACAACGAGGCCGGAGTTGACTGTGCTTAAAGGGATAGTTCACCCAAAAATGAAAATTACCCCATGATTTACTCACCCTCAAGCCATTCTATATGGCTTTCTTCTTTCAGACGATTACAATCGGAGTTATATTAAAAATTTCCTGGCTCTTCCAAGCTTTATAATGGCAATGAATGTGTCACAGTTTAGGGTACCTCATTGGCTCCCCCTGCTGTCTGTGTTGTCCCATCACTTTCGGCAGCTTGTGACCTGGGCAATACACGCTGATCGTTGCCTCGCTATCTCTCTGGTCGCCTGTCCTGTGTGAATGCTGGGTCTGAGACAGCTTCCACAGCCCGTGAGGTCCGCAGTACTCTGCCAGTCGGCTCTGGAGTCCCTAAGGACTAGTTCACTAATTTTGTTATTGTTCTATTGTTTTGGTTTTGCCTTGTGAGAAATAAATCTCAGTTTCTCACCTACTTCTCTGCATTTGAGTCCTCTGTTATCCCAGGGATCTGACAGAATCTACTCACCACGTCATGGACACAGCAGAGGAGACAGAGTTGCGCCGAGCCCTTGTGCAGCAGGGTGCTCTTCTGGGTCGGCAACAGGAGGAGCTTGCGGCTTCTCGCCATGCCTACACCGAGATCTCTCTCCAGCTCAACCAGCTGGCGGAGTGGCTTGATCAGCTGCCCAAGTTGTAACGCCTTCTCCCAAACCCGATGGAGTGGTTCTCCATTGAGTTGAACCACGGCTCAATCCTCCTGATCCATACTCGGGTGAGCCTAATAAATGTCGCTCCTTCTTATCCCAATGCTCTCTGACTTTCTCTCTCCAACCTTCCTGTTTTCCCACGGAGCAGTCCAAGGTGGCATTTACCATCACGCTCTTGGTGGGTCAAGCGAGAGAGAGGGGAATGGCCATGTGGGATAACAAACATCACTGCTGTTCTTCATTTGAGAGTTTCTCGGAGGAGCTACGCAAGGTTTTCGATCACTCTGCTTGAGGAACCGAGGTGGCATGAGCTTTGTCACTGCCACAGCAGGGAGAGCAATCGGTATCGGGGTACTCTATCAAGTTTCGTACGCTCGCTGCGTGCTGTGGCTGGAATGCTAAGGCACTCTGGGACCATTTTTTCCACGGTCTGGCTGAATACATCATGGATGAGATCTATTCTCTCGAACTGCCCTATAATCGATTTGATCGACCTCGCCATCCGGGTGGATAACCGGATTGCTCTCCATTCTCGACATCGGAGGAGCATGTTTCCTCCTGAGCCCGTCACTAGAGCTGCGTCAGGCAGCGAGTGACACGCCATCCCAATGTCTCGTTTTCCTGGAGGAGGAGGAGCCGATGCAGGCCAGGGGAGCACGGCTGACTGTAAGGGAGCGACATTATCGCCTGGACAATCAACTGTGTCTCTACTGCGGGGAAGCAGGTCACGTGGCAGCTTCGTGCCGGCAGGCATTCTGTTTTGCAGGAGGAGCCGGTGTTATTGGTGTTGCCTGGCACTTTTCTGCCTAAGGGGCGCCTTTACTCTCTTTCCGGACCCCTAGAGGGACACCATGGAGAGGTATATTCACGATTCTCAGGTCTACGCAAGGTTTTCGATCACTCTGCTTGAGGAACCGAGGTGGCATGAGCTTTGTCACTGCCACAGCAGGGAGAGCAATCGGTATCGGGGTACTCTATCAAGTTTCGTACGCTCGCTGCGTGCTGTGGCTGGAATGCTAAGGCACTCTGGGACCATTTTTTCCACGGTCTGGCTGAATACATCATGGATGAGATCTATTCTCTCGAACTGCCCTATAATCGATTTGATCGACCTCGCCATCCGGGTGGATAACCGGATTGCTCTCCATTCTCGACATCGGAGGAGCATGTTTCCTCCTGAGCCCGTCACTAGAGCTGCGTCAGGCAGCGAGTGACACGCCAGCCCAATGTCTCGTTTTCCTGGAGGAGGAGCCGATGCAGGCCAGGGGAGCACGGCTGACTGTAAGGGAGCGACATTATCGCCTGGACAATCAACTGTGTCTCTACTGCGGGGAAGCAGGTCACGTGGCAGCTTTGTGCCGGCAG